AATACAAAAAAAAAGTCAATATATACTTATACTTTCTTTTATAAATACAGTCTCTGCCGGGCGTGGTGGCTCACACCTGTAATTCTAGCACTTTGGGAGGCCGAGGTGGGTAGATCACAAGGTCAGGAGTTTGAGACCAGCCTGGCCAACATGGTGAAACACTGTCTCTACTAAAAATACAAAAAATTAGCCAGGCGTGGTGGCACGCGCCTGTAGTCCCAGCTACTCGGGAGGCTGAGGCAGGAGAACTGCTTGAACATGGGAGGAGGAGGTTGCACTCCAGTCTGGGCAACAGAGCGAGACTCCGTCTCGAAATAAATAAATAAATAAATAAATAAATAGTCTCTGTTAGATAATTCCCTGAAAGGCCTAGATAGGTGACCAACTCAATGATGATGAGCACCCATTGTACCATACTGTGGTCTCCAAATATTATTTCCCATGAAAAGGAATCAAGGCACCTAGGAGAAATGGATGCTTCAAGGTCTAGAACAGAAAATGACAGAAAAAACAGCAAGGGAGAGAGCAATGACTACTACAGACTCAAACAGAGGGACACAGACACACACACACACATATACACACACACACACACACACACATACTCCTCTCATTAGTCACCTCTGAAGAATCCTAAGAAATTAACTCACTGCTCTAAAAATTGTCAACTAAAGGGAAGGAATCAAAATTGAACTGACCTTTCCCGGATGAACCGTAGGTCAGGGTAATCAAAGAATTGATGAAGGAAGCTTTCTCTTTCTATTTCAGTTAAGAAATAAAGAGGAATAATAGAATTAAAATGTCACTATTTTTCAAAGCCCTCATGAAATAAGCAATCTTGGCAGTGATCATTAATGGCCACTAACATCAGAAAAAAGAAAGACAGCCAGACACCATATGCTTCCTGATGAGCATACACATGGACATATGGATCAAAGTATTCTTACCCTTCTCCCGCAATGGAACCAGAACCTAAACAAGCCACTATGTTTCATTTTAATTCACAGTTTCACAAAACATAGAATCAGCATGTTAAATGACTTTATGGAAATTATCAGCAAAATTCAGAATAAAACTAACTCTTTTGAATATGCAACCCAGTTTATGCAACGAAAATGTTAAATGGGAAAAAAAGGAAAGCAAGAGAAGCAAAGGGGTAACTTGAGATTAATTAAAAGATAGTTTTGAGGCAAATCAACCAAATGTACTGTGTAGGCCTTGTTGGATCCTTATGGAAACAAACCACTGTTTTAAAAAAAAACCTGTAATAATTAGATCCATTTGATTACTGCTTAGATATTTGATAATAATAAGAGATCATTAAGCATTTGAAATTTATTTATTAATTTTTTTTTTTGAGATAGGGTCTCACTCTGTCACCCAGGCTGGGGTGCAGTGGCGTAATTATGGCTCACTGCAGCCTCCATCTCCTTGAGTGCAGGTGATCCTCCAACCTCAGCCTCCTAACTAGCTGGGACTACAGGTGCACACCACCACACCCAGCTTGCTTGCTTTTCTTTCTTGTTCATTCTTTCGTTCGTTCTTTCGTTCATTCATTCATCTATTCATTCGCTCAGACAGGATTTCACCATGTTGCCCAGGCTGGTCCTTTTATTTTTACATAGAAATTCATATGGTAGTTATGTTTACAGAAAAAATATTTTATTTAAGTACATGCCAAAATATTTACAGATGAGGCCGGGCGCGGTGGCTCACCCTTGTAATCCCAGCACTTTGGGAGGCCGAGGTGGGTGAATCACCTGAGTTCAGGAGTTCGCAATCAGTCTGGTCAACATGGTGAAACCTTGTCTCTACTAAAAACACAAAAATTGGCCAGGTGTAGTGGTGGGCGCCTATAATCCCAGCTACTTGGGAGACTGAGGTTGCAGTGAGCCAAGACCTCGCCATTGCACTCCAGCCTGGGCAACAAGAGCGAAACTCCGTCTCAAAAAATAAAAATTAAAAATTAAAGATGACATTACATAATGGCTGGAATTAACATCAATGTAATCTAGTGGTTGGGGGTAATCAGAGTATGCACAAAACAAGAGTTGATGGCTATTGATCTAGGTGATGGGTCCACGGACGTTTGTTATGTCAACTGTTTCTTTGGTAATGCTTGAAATTATCTACAACAAAAAGTTTTTAAAACTTTTCAAAATCTCCAGCTATGAACTCTCTTTAGAGCACCACTCTAACCATGGATGATGACACCTCTACAGTCTCACAGGCAATGCAAACTCAATCACATTCAAAACCTACCTACCTCCTACCCTCTTTATCATGATCTCTGTGAAAGGCACCATCCAGGCAGTAAAACATCTCTCACCTTCCACACCCAGTCAGGCATATCAAGTTCTCTCTGGGTGGTAACTTCCTTTCCTTATTGCTACCATGCTAATTCAGCTCCCACTACCTCTTGCTAAGTACTGCCTGGTTTCAATTCATCCCCCATATGACCTCTCTACTCTCCATCCTTACCAAATGCCCCCAGCAGCACCCTACTCTCATACCACATTTCCTACCTCAACCCATGCATGCCCAGTGTCAACATTTAGGATGTCTATTGGACTCCATCTCTAGTTTAACTTCTTCCTACTATGTTTCTGTGACAGAAGCAGACTAAAACATAAACGTACTGAAAACTAATTGATCACATGGAGGTAATAAAGAAGCCTCTTAAACTTGTCCTTTGGATTAGAATCCCTTTAACTCTCATGTCCTATTATCATCATTTCATGTCATACGAATATCCTACCTGGTTGACATTTATTTATGCTACTTTACATTTGAGGATTATTTATGCTACTGTATTTTTTAGTTTTCTGGATTGAGCATGCACATGTACTACTATGAATATGACTAATGAATATCTAGGATATCTAGGATAGCTACATGTGACACGATAGGTGTCACATGTAAAGCAAAGTGACATGACACAATGGAAGACGGAAACAAAATCATTTGTATTTAGAAGAGAACTTTCAGAGGACTTAAGTGCTCAACACTGTAACCTACATAAATAATTATGTTTCTTTCTTTAAGGGTGGTTTCACAATTAAATAATTAGAAAGTTTATCTCCCGCAGCAAGCCTGTATGTTTTGGCCTTTGATAAGGTTCACATCAGGAAGAATTGTGGATACTTTCCAAACTACAAAAACAGGTATTTTAGTCAGTAGTGGCTATGTTCATTTAAAGTGAACCTTAAATTCCTGTAGCTCTACCAAGGAACAAAAAACTAAAAATTCAACAGAAAGTACAGAAATTAACCACGTGATTACTAAAGAGTCCTGAAAAACATAGCTAATAATTGCTTTTCCCTAACCAGATTTAGTTCTTTCCCAGATCTTCTGTTCCAAGTTAAGGGAACTGCTTAGAGGAATCATCAATGAATCATGAGCCAAAAGTAGACTAATACACTATACTCAGCACAAGCTGTAGAATTAATCTCAACATGGCTAACCCCCACTGGAGTACTATAGATCATGCATGATAGATTTGACATCTAGATTTAAGAAGCCAACAGAGATGTTCTACATGTGGGTTACAGAAGTTAGAAAGAAAATAAAAACACCATTGGACCTCTAAATCCAACACCTTGGACAATGCTACAAAATGAGGCTTTAGTTAGCTGGATATGGTGGCATAAACCTGAAGTCCCAGTGACTCAAGAGGCTATGGTGGGAGAATCACTTGAGCCCAGGAGTTGGAGACTGCAGTGAGCTATGACTACATCACTGAACTCCAGACTGGCTGACAGAGTGAGACCCTGTCACTACTACTACTACTACTACTACTACTACTACTACTACTACTGCTGCTGCTGCCGCCGCCGCCGCCGCCGCCGCCGCCGCCGCCGCCGCCGCCGCCGCCACCGCCACCGCCACCGCCACCACCACCACCCCTTCCCCAAAAAATAAATGAAGCTTTCAAAGTAACACCCTGTAGAAAAGACGGCTTTCTTAAAAATGTAAAAACTTTACAGATCAAAGACATGGAGTCTTTCATATGTATCATTATAGAGCTTATCATTAAAATAGAAAAAAAGTGAAAAACTGAGCTTGAAATAAAAATCTCATTGTCAATACACAGAAAAGTACAAAGAAATGAAATAATGTCAAATATAGAATAATGGTTTCTCTGGAGGAGATTGGAATGTGGGTATGCAATCAAGAGTTTCTGGATTGTCCCTGTTTCACTGTTTAATTTCTTAAGGTGAATTATTCATTATTCTTTATATTCCTTTTTAAATGTTATATAATTTTATAGATCAATTATCTAATGTTTGGCTCCTTTTAAAGACCTCCAGCATTTTAGGTTGCCTCATCAATAGTTGGCAAAAGAGGTTAGGCATGGTAGCTTACACCTATAAACCCAACACTTTGAGAGGCCGAGGTGAGTGGATTACTCGAGGTCAGGAGTTCGAGACCACTATGGCCAACATAGTGAAATGCCACGTCTACTAAAAATACAAAAATTTGCCGGGCATGTTGGCACACGCCTGTAATCCCAGCTACTCATGAGGCTGAGATAAGAGAAGCACTCGAACCCAGGAGGAGGAGGTGGAAATGAGCCAAGATCGTACCACTGTCCTCCAGCCTGGGGAACAGTGCAAGACTCCATCTCAATTTAAAAAAAAAAAAAGAAAAAGAGGCTGGGCGTGGTGACTCACACCTGTAATCCCAGCACTTTGGAAGGCCAAGGCAGGAGGATCACGAGGTCAGGAGATCGAGACCATCCTGGCTAAAACAGTGAAACCCCATCTCTACTAAAAACACAAAAAATTAGCCAGGCGAGGTGGTGGGCGCCTGTAGTCCCAGCTACTTGGGAGGCTGAGGCAGAAGAATGGCATGAACCCGGGGGGCAGAGCTTGCAGTGAGACGAGATTGCGCCAACTGCACTCCAGCCTGGGCGACAGAGTTAAGACTCCGTCTCAAAAAAAAAAAAAAAAAAAAAAAAAAAAAGAGCTGGCAAAAGGTTCAAGACGTAATACACTTACCTGATTTGACTTTTCTACTGTACTGCTGGGAACCTCAGTAGTGTCCTTCACAAAAAAGTTATCTATGATGTGTCTCTCTGCACATTCTTGGCTGCAAACTGGGCATCGAATGACTCCAACTGGGAAAAACAAAATTACATTCTAAGTTTTAATACAAATATACTGAGTACTTAACCAACACATCCCATTCAAACTGTGACTTGGTTCTTTTTCAATGTCCATTCTTTTTAAATTCATACCTGCTGTCACTTAAAAACAATTGTCTATGTAAATATACTGATTTTATCTATACATCACACATGAAATACTAAACGATGCATAAATTCTTCATAATTTTAAATGAAATGCCTCCCTTCCCCCACATCACCATGGGCTAAATGCTTTTACTGTTTAGCAACTTCTCTAGCAGTGGTTTTCCAACAGAAATGTACAGAACCATATGGGAGATTTTCAAAAGAACAAGGAGCTCAGGTTTTCTCTAGAGCTACAAAATGAGGATTTCTGGAAGTAGAACAGAGACATGCTCCTTTTGTTTAAAATCGCCACAGAGATTATGAAACACCATTTCCTTTTAACAAATGCAAACAGTATTCCTTTGAACAAAAAATAATAGTCTTTCGTAGTGCTTGGTAAAACAATAAATAATAACAAACGAGTTAAAACGGTAATATAAACTTGATGCCATATAATTTATACTATGGAAGACTGCAGTAAGGTTCCCAGATAGATTTTTTAATGAAATGCATAAGAACAAACACAAAGTAATCCAAAGGCCAATTTCATTTGTATAAACAAATAACAAACAAAAATTTAATTTAAAAAAATTTTTTTACAATAGCAACAAAAATGCATTAAGTGCTTAGAAATAAATTTTAAAAGATTGTGAAGGTTATTGTGCAGGAAAATATTAAGCTATATTTAAAAACATTTTAAAATATCTAAATCATGAAGAAAGCATGTTCATGATGGTAAAGATACCAATACTCCCACAACCATATCTATAGATTCAATGCAGCTCTAGTAACAATCCCAAAGGAAATTTCCATAGAATTTTGACAAGCTGAGGGGACATGCCTCCCAACTAATAATACCTACTATATATAAAGCTATAAAAATTAAAATGGTGTGATATTTTGTAAGGCTTACATAAATGTACACTTTATATATATCAGATGTTCACTAGAAATCAGTGGGGAAAGGGATGAACTTTTCATGTTGCTGGAACAATTATTGGGGGTGGGGAATGAAATTAGATCCCTACTTTGATCCAAAAAATATATATATATTTTGAGTAGATTAACAACTATAAGACTTTCACAAGAAAATGTAAGAGAATATCTTTGTGACCTTGGAGTACAAATTTATTGGAATAAATTTTTAAGCAAGATACAAAAAGCAAGAGCTATAAGGGAAAGATTAATATATCCACCTTTGTTACAGTTCTTTGTTACAGATCTACAGCTAGTGAAAATATTACCATGAACAAAATGAGAAGACAAGCCTTAAGCTGGAAGATCTATGTAAACACACAGTACTGGCAAAGAATTAATACTTAAAATCTGGAAAGATGTCACAATGCATTTCAGAGAAAAGAAAGATGGAGTAAACCTAATTTTCATTATGCCTCCAGCTTCACACAGCTAAGAACTCTAAACATTCTACATAAAACATTAAGTGTTACCCCCATTTTACAGATGAGGAAACTGGGTGCTATGACTGGCCTGTGGTCACACAACCACTAATGACATGTCATGTGCACACTCTACATGGTAAGTATTAAAATGGAGATAGAGCATAGACTTTAAAACTGTACAAGACCTAGATCAGCCCTCTTCATTGATTGCTCTGTAACTCCTTTTTTTTTTTTTTTTTTTTTTTTGAGATGGAGTCTCATTCTGTCACCCAGGCTGGAGTACAATGGTGCAATCTTGGCTCACTGCAACCTCTGCCTCTCTGGTTCAAGCGATTCTCCTGCCTCAGCCTCCTGAGTAGCTGGGATTACAGGCATGCATCACCACACCCGGCTTATTTTTGTATTTTTAGTAGAGACGGGGTTTCATGATGTTGGTCAGGGTGGTCTCGAACTCCTGACCTCATGATCCACTGTGCCCAGGCTCGATTGCTCTGTAACTCCTCCTAATCAATCTTTTTGAGCCTCTGTTTCATCTTCTGTAAAACAGTAATAAATGATAATCATGATGATAGTTATCCTATTGAGAACTTGCTGTGTTCTAGTTATTGTGCTCAATATTCCACTTCCATTAGAACAACTCTGAGGCAGGATTGTTGTAAGGATTTTATATGAGTAAATGCACAGAACCGGTCTAGCCTAGGTTGGTACCTGGTAAACCTGGGCAGTAACCCCTGTACTGTCCAGCTAAAATCAGATGACAATAGCTAGCTCTTTCTGAATCAGGTAAATGAGGACCAGCACAATCTCATCTACACTGACTCCCTCAAAGTATGATCTCTAAGGCTACAAATAAATTCTGAGTCATGGATATACCTCTGCCTAATAAGGAACAATTGAAACCAAATGTTAGTAAATCCCAAATTTACATCTCTACCAGAACGTCATTCCCAAGCCCCAGGTGTATCAGTTTTTCCAGTAATAGAAAAACAAAGCACTACATATTACACAGTAAATACAATCATGAGGTGTATGACATGACGGGTTTTTTGTTGTTGTTGTTGCTGGGTTTTTTTTGTTTTTTGTTTTTGAGACAGAGTCTCGCTCTGTCATCCAGGCTGGAGTGCAGTGGTGCGATCTTGGCTCACTGCAACCTCTGCCTACCTGGTTCAAGTGATTCTCCTGCCTCAGCCTCCCAAGTAGCTGGGACTACAGGCACCCGCTACCATGCCTGGCTAATTTTTTGTATTTTTAGTAGAGATGGGGCTTCACCATGTTAGTCAGGATGATCTTGATCTTCTGACCTCGTGATCCATCCATCTCAGCCTCCCAAAGTACTGGGATTACAGGCGTGAGCCACCTCGCTTGGCCACTGCATAATGTTTTTTTAGCCAACAATGGATCACATATATGTCAGTGGTATCATAAAATTATAATGAAGCTGAAGGCCAGGTGTGGTGGCTCACATCTGTAATCCCAGCAATTTGGGAAGCTGAGGTGGGTGGATCACTTGAGGTCAGGAGTTCAAGACCAGCCTGGTCAACATGGGGAAACTCTGTCTCTACTAAAAATACAAAAATTGGCCGAGTTCAGTGGAATGTGCCTGTAGTCCCAGCTACTCGGGAGGCTGAGGAAGGAGAATTGCTTGAACCCAGGAGGCAGAGGTTGCAATGAGCCGAGATCGCACCACTGCACTCCAGCCTGGGCAACAGAGTGAGACTCCATCTCAAAAAATAATAATAATAAAAAATAAATAAAAATAAAATGGAGCTGAAAAATTCCTATCACCTAGTGAAAGCTGCGGTAATATTGATAATATTGTAAGTGCAATGCATTACTCATGTGTTTAGGGTGATGCTGGTATAAACAAGCCTACTGAGCTGCCAGTCATATAAAAGTACATAATTTCTAGGCCCCCTTCATATGCACTCATCACTCACTACCTTACTCACCCAGAACAAATTCCAGTCCTTCAAGCACCACTCATAAGTGCTCTATACAGGCGTACCTTATTTTTTATCTTTTACATTGTATTTTTCTAGGTTTTAGATATGTTTAGATGTACAAATACCATTGTGTTACAGATGAACACTACAGTATTCAGTACAGTAACATGCTGTACAGATTTGTAGCCTAGGAATAACAGGCTGTACCATATTCTCCTGGTGTGCAGTAGGCTATACCATATAGGTTTGTGTAAGTACACCCTATGATATTTATACAATAAAATTGCCAAAATTGCACCACCATGCCTGGATAATTTTATATTTTTATGAACAGACAGGGTCTCACTATATTGCCCCGGCTGCTCTCAAACTCCTGGGCTCAAGGGATCCTCCTGTCTTGGCCTCCCAAAGTGCTGGGATTACAGGCATAAGCCATGGTGCCTGGCCTTATTTCTTTTTTTTCCTTTTGGCAGGGGGGAGACAGTCTCACTCTGGTTGCCCAAGCTGGAATGCAACAACATGATCTTGGCTCACTGCAGCCTCCACCTCTCAGGCTCAGGTGAATCTCCCACCTCAGCCTCCTGAGTAGCTGGGACTACAGGCCTGTGCCACCACACTCCACTAATTGTTTTGTATTTTTAGTAGAGACAGAGTTTCACTATGTTGTCCAGGATGGTCTCAAACTCCTGGACTCAAGCAATCCGCCTATCTCAGCCTCCCAGAATGCTGGGATTACACGCATAACCCACCACACCTGGCCTCTTATTCCTTTTTTCTACAAATGAAATGTTTCAAGCTTTTGGGTTTTGAGATGTGAATATGATTTGTTATCTCCTTTCTGTGAAGTTTTAGTTTCTAAACCTAAGCATAATGCAGGGCTTATGTTTTGACATTATGTGCTAGGAATGGCTCGTACTTCTTTGACTGCCCAGCTCCACAAAAGAGATGTACGTGGATTTAAAGTCTCTTATTACACACGGTAGATCACAACACAAGTGAGTTAAATGACAGGATCATGAGATGGATCACCACCAATCTGGCAACTTTATTCCAACATCCACGGCAGACAAGGGAAAAGAGAGATATATATATATATATGTAAAAAACCAAATAGTGCTGTCCGTGGTCCTGTCAATACCACTAATGGTTTTGACTCCTACATACATAACAAAAAAACAAAAAACAAGTAAATGCTATCTACAAGAAATCTACTTCAAATATACAGAGAGAGGTTAAAGGAAAAAACAAACAAACAAACAAACAGGATGCTAACAGATACACATTCAAACAATAAGCATATGTACAGGGCAGTGCTCCAGGTGGCTTTGAATCAAGCCAGTTCCCTGCTCTGCCCCACACCTCTGTGTAACTGTATAATATACTGGGAATGAAGCATCCTGAGACAAGGAGGAGCTGGTTGGAAGTGCCTCAGTTTCTGTTCCTGTCATTCCCTCCACCCTCAAACAGGATGTCCTCTAATCTTTAGCCCAGTGAATCATGTTGCCCTTGGGACATAAACCTTCTTTCCTGGGTCCCCTAGCTG